CATTACTACTTGCACCTATTAATTTAAATATAATCTTTTAAGAGGACTGATCTTTTTTTCTCTCGAATGGGCCTCTGTTTTTTCATAACACCACCCCTCTAGGAGATTACACATATTGGATCCTTATGCAGGAATCCTTGCCACCCCTGTGGCAACATTATCACCTTCATGAATAGATCCTTATTCTCCAAGATAACAGTAAGTCCAAAACCTATTCGAAGGACATTCCAAAACAAATCACACAAAAATAATAATAATAAAAACATGAAATCAAATAGAAGGGAAACTTTCAAGGGCATAATTCATCATTACATAAAAGTCCTCTAAGGGCATGATGACATAATTAAGTTACAAAGGGGCCAAAAAGAAACAGGAAAGAAACCTCCAGCTCACTGGACCTCTTCAGGAAACCCTCCTTTCCTTAGAAGCATCCTCTAGGCGAGTCGCCTATAGATTAACTTCCTCCACCGCCTTGACGCCTTCAGGCTCAACTTAGTCTTTACAGAGGAAGCGACTAACATGTCAGAGGAAGAACCCTCATTTTTATCCACTTTGAATATGTCCACAGAGCTCAGGTCCATCTCAGAATAAAAGAAGGCCACCCACTCCTTCACTCGTTTAAAGTAAGTACCAAAGGTATCCACAAGATTGTCATTGAGCATAAACACATCCTCTTCTAGTTTCTTCTAGGAGAAGAGGGCAACATAAAGGAATTCCTACAATTTTTTCTCCGAGGCGGAGAAATCTTGAGCTTTGGTGTTTGCTTTGTTGAGCTTGGACACTAAGGCATTATAAGGCTTCTATTACTGATTGGTCTTTGGAAAGATATCCTTGGTAGCCTAAGAGTTTCGCTTTCAGCTCATTTTTTCAGTTTGAGCGTGCTTCCTTCAATCAACATGCTCCATCAACAAAAACATTAGCAAGTGGTTCTCCTTGAGGCGAGACAACTTGGGGGACGACATGTTACGTATAACCTTGTAGTCGCTTGGGAAGTCCTCAGGGAAAAGAAGACGAGCTCTTATGAAATTGATTGAGCCAAAAGTAGGATTATTCCACATAGAAGACAAAGGATACGAGTCCTTCCTCGCGAGTGATGTATGATCGCCCGACTCCTCTGAAACATTAATATGGACCACTTTACCCTTTGGAGCAAGGGAGGAGTCGACTACTGGTTTCCGGGTTTCGGGGGCACGTGATTTAGGAGGCTCATCACCCTTAACTTACCTCTTGGTATCTCTAGTGTTTAATTCATTTAGGCGACTCTGAGGGTTTACAAGTTTTGAGCGCTCAACCATTCTCTTTGCGAGGCATTATTTCATTTCTAGGGAGATTTTCAACGTCTTATATGCAAAAAGAATAATACAAATATGCGCCATATGACTAGCAAAAAATCCTAAACAATGGTCGTTATTACATTGAACTTACTTAGATATTTATCCATGTCTTTATCCTCCCCCTAATCCAAGGCGATTATGATACGAGAATCCATGACCTTAAACTTATCCAAAAGATGGATCACCTTTACCTCATCAAATATGATCACCACTGGATTATATATCTAGTCTAGAGGAAAATGAGGGATTCCATCTTCCCCAGTAATGACAGTGGAGGATCCATCTCGCCTTCTCACTTTTGCAAAATTTTCATTCCAATTCTTGCAATGATTTGAGTAGGGTTTGAAAAAATCTCTCAATGGAAAGGCACCTAGAGTTAACCATCCCCCTAAAACGAGCCTCCATGGTGCCATAGAAAGAGAATAACATCTATATGGTACAATGAACCCCCTAGTCGGTGGCATATGATCCTAAACTCCCAGATTAAACTCCAGCCACTAGGCGTGATCTGGGATGGGGCGACATTAATCACCTTTAAAATCTTCCCCTAAAATAGGGAAACATGGATAAAAAACCCAAGTCACCAATGGCGGGGAGGTGGAGGTAAAAGTAGAAACTAAAAGAATTGTGCAGAATAGCCATTTTGACCCTCTCTATCATAGAATATGTCTCTAGGATGACTTCTTCCTCATCACCCGAGGAGGAGAGATTGACATGCTGTTGAAAGGAGACTATCCTTTCCTCTGATGTAATGGGACTCAAAATCCTCGACGTCCCTGTGCTCAGTGTCAGAGGTGACCATTATCTTCTTGTTTCTTGAGAAAGCAGAAGGGAGACAAAAGTCATTATCGCTACCACCAATGCTATTTCTATCGTAGCTAATGAAACTCATGAAACTACCGAACATGCCTAATTCCACTAATTTAAAATCAATCATCCTGTAAGGATGTTTGACATTTCTATATCAATAATTCCACAAGGCTATGCACTCATCATGAGTCGATGACTCTACCAGGTTACCATTCTTGTCTATACCATTAATTATCACCATAAAGGGAAAGAGGAATAAGAATGAGTGTCGAACTTGTACCTGTAAAAGGAGGCTTGAACTTAATAGGGTTGAAGAACTGGTGAAGTAGACAGAGGATGCTTTCAAAAGCTTCAGTGCAAAAGTGCGCAAAAAGGTGAAATGGTTAGGGTTGAATCCCCTTAATAGAGGTTGAGAAACTAGGGATGATCAAAGGTCTTCTATATTTCTCATCAGACGTTAAAGGCTATGCACACTTATAACACGAGTGAGAGATTAAAGTTAATTTGGCATCCCAAGACTAAATCATCATTAACCACACTTAATACCTTAAATTATTTTCCCTTAACTAACGTTTGTGGATTTCCCTCAGCTGACGTATGGTTCACCTCATTCACACTGAGAGATATATCTCGTTCGCCTCATATACAAGGGAATCACCTCATACATGAGGGACTCACCTTAGGTATATAGTAGGAACTCATTCAGATAAGAAAGGGAAAACAATATGGGTTATCGCATATTGTACTTTTAATATACAATTTTGTATTTATAATAGTAAAAAAAAATATTAATAGTCAATAAAAATAAACTGAAAGTTTAATATTTTGAAGTTAAAGGTAGTGCGTTGACAGTGTAAAATAATTTTACACTGTCATTCAATAGGGATTCATCAATCAACCATGTCACATAATTTTTTTAAAAACAACAGTATGACTTGGCAGAATACATAACCGTGATTGGCTATCAGTGTAAAATTATTTTACACTATATCTTTTTTTTCTCCAATATTTTTCTCTATGTGTAAAAATATTGATCCACACTAATTTTGAAATTAAGACAATAGATAGTATTGCTCCACTACTCATTATCGAAAGGGTTAAATATACGACGCCCCTTACTAATAAGGCGATTTTGATTTCCCCCCTTGAAGTATTTTTTTTGTGATCCGCCCCTCTTATAAAACGAAGATTTCCTTTACAGAATCCCCTATTCCATGTTTGACTGATTGGGCGTGGGTAATCTTTCTGACATCCTGGACTTGCTGACTGGATTATTTCAAATCAAATGTCTAAAAAATCATCTCACATATCGCCTCACCAAAGATTCGAACCTAGGATCCTCGGCTCATACATCAAATGCCCAACCACTACGCTATTTGTCTTATTGTTGCTATTAATCACCTTGAAATCAATTAATACAAAGTCTTATTGTTCCTTCCATCTTCTTCTCAAGGAAATCAAAAGATACCCATTGGAAGGAACCTGCTGTCTAAAAGATGAACCATGGCCAGCCCTGCATAATTTCTGCTTGAAATCATGAACAAACTTTGCAACAATTAGAAAACCCTAAAATCAACCCTAATTTTCAATCAAACTTCGCTAAAGTTCAAATTGCACAAAAATTATAAAACCACAAATCGATTTCTGATGATGAAGATGCTCTGTCGGAGTGCAAGAATCCACTTCACAGCTTGACCGTGTCTCACACTTCCAAATGTCCATGAGAAGAAAGAGGCAAAACGGAACCACCGAGAGAAAGGGAGAGCGTCTAGCGCCATTTTTTTCTTCAGATCTTGAATTTGCTTGGTTTTCTCTGTTTGAGATTCGGAGGGTGAGAGTTGAATGTATGGAATCTGGACAGATTTCTGCCATTGTGTATAATTTCTTGCATTTTCTTGATCCAAATGATTTTAAGATTACTGTTGGAAGTGAGAATGAAGATGATAACAGGTGATGATGAAGATGATTATTGGAATTTACTTTATTGATTATTTGTTGTGTGATTTTATCAAAAAAATATTGTAGCTCAATTGGCAAGAGGTGTATCTTGCATCTTTAAGATATCAAGTTTAATTCTTGGTTGTTGTAGTCTTTTAGTTTATTTTTTCTTAATCAATTTATACATATAATCAATAATAACCCAGTCAGCAAGTCTAGGATGCCAACTAGAAAGATTCCCCACGCTCAGTCAACCAAACATGAAATATGAGATTCTGCAAACGGAATCTTCATTTTATAAAAGGCGGATCACAAAAAAAAACTTCAAGAGGAGAAAATCAAAATTTACCCTATTAATAAAGGACATTGTATATTTAACCCTTTTCGGAAATGGAATCAATGTGCTTACTATTTTGTAAGTTTGTAGCTTTAGGCTATTTAGAGAGAGATAGTATATTTTAAACGGAAATCCAATGTGTGGTTGAAAATAGGTAAGGGAATCATATGTGTGATAATAGTATGACTTTGTATCCATCTTATTTTCATTTTTAACCATATTGTATCCATCATATATAGTAGTACATTTTTAACCATATTGTATCCATCATATATAGTAGTACATTTTTAATTACTAACGTTAATGATTTCAAGTAAAAACAAAGAACACAGTAACACAGTATAGTACTATGTTCTTACGAAAATGTTACTACTGACAAAATCCACGTGCCCCATGCTTGAAAATTAAATTTAATCTTTGTTTCTTGTGTTTGCGTACCGACAGAAACATTACAGTAGTAAATATCTACCAACTATGAGACTGAGATCGATACTAACTAAAAATGAAACACACAGACAGTGAACAACATAAGATAAGAGACCAAAAATAAGGTTTTGGTGTTTGTTTTCAGTTGCAAAGTTATGGCCACGGCACTGGGAAAGACCACGCTTGATTCAGGTTGGTTTGCAGCTAGGTTCAATGAAGTTCATTTCAATGGAACTCAACTCACCACTACTAATCCTCCTTCTGGAACCACCTTACCATGGATGGAAGCTCTCGTGCCTGGCACGTGAGTACTCCCTACTGAAATGCTGCATCGTGATTCTTGCATTTTTTATTGCTTCAGTTTTAAGTGTTTTCTTTTGATTTGGCAGTGTTCTTGGAACTTTGGTGAAGAATAAACTTGTGCCTGATCCATTTTATGGACTTGGAAATGAGGCTATTTTAGACATTGCTGATTCTGGAAGAGATTATTACACTTTCTGGTTCTTTACATCTTTTCACTGTAAGCTGGTAAGATTTCTACTCTCTCTTACTCTCAATTTTTAGGTCTTTTACTTTTTCATTGAAGCATTGTCATTTTGTTTTGATTTGGAATCCATGGAATCCAATTGATTTTTCGAAATGTGGCTTTTGGCTTGGTAGTTCTTTTCTTTGAACTTTGGTGGATGTTGTTGCTCATTACTCTACCTTTTGCAGTCAAGTAATCAGAATTGTGATCTGAACTTCCGTGGAATCAATTACTCTGCCGATGTTTATTTGAACGGCCACAAAATGGTTCTTCCAAAAGGAATGTTTCGGAGGCATTCTCTTGATGTTACTAATATTCTTCATCCAGATGGAAATAACCTGCTTGCTGTTCTTGTTCACCCGCCGGATCATCCTGGGAGTGTTCCTCCTCAAGGAGGACAAGGCGGAGATCATGAGGTAAGGAATTAAATTAATTCATGAAAACGTCGAATATCAACTCAAGCGATTATTGACTTCTGAGATCTGTTAGTCATTTTTTTCCTTCCGATATTGTAGATAGGAAAGGATGTGGCTACACAATACGTTCTCGGTTGGGATTGGATGGCTCCTATAAGGTGACATTGCTATAGATTGTGTGGTAAGATACTAGTAATCTCCTAATCATTCTAGCATAAGGAAACTTACGCGAGTATTGTTTTGATTGCAGAGATAGGAATACAGGAATTTGGGATGAGGTTTCCATTTCTGTTACTGGGGTAAGTCACATGAACTACTTTAGTTCCTTCCAAAGTATCTAGCATTTTTTTCCATACACTTTAAGTATAAGCCATTGCGATAAATTTAGAAGTCTGTCTTTCCTCTTCCTCATGGTTTCAACAATGTGTTACCATGACGAAACATTCCGGTTTTATAATTGATGATACTTCCAGCAGCTCTTTGGTACGATGATTCTGGTTTCTGTGTTTGGTGCAGCCAGTAGAAATAATTGATCCCCACTTGGTGTCGTCATTTTTTGACAATTATAAGAGAGTATATCTACATGCAACTACTGAGTTGGAAAACCGAAGCTCCTGGACTGCTCAATGCTCTTTGAGTATCCATGTCACAACAGAACTTGAGGGGAGCGTTCACTTAGTAGAGCAGCTTCAAACTCAAAATATTTCGGTTCCAGCAAAATCACGGATGCAATATACATTTCCCGAGGTCAGTGACAGCATTTATTCTGATAAAGTTCTTGATCCACTGTCTTTTAATACACGAGATGAACTCTTATGCCATATTTCTTTCATTTGTTTCCCTAAGTTAAGAAAATGTGTAATCCTGGATTGACAACATGTTGTATCCTCGTTTTACTGGTCCTGTTAACTTGCATAACTCGGAGTTTAAATTTTAGTACTTACTGTCAAGTTGTCTGAATTGGCAGCTCTTTTTCTACAAGCCTGATTTATGGTGGCCCAATGGAATGGGGAAGCAATCTTTGTACAATGTTGTCATTAGCATTGATGTTAAAGGATTTGGTGAATCTGATACATGGAGCCATTACTTTGGATTCCGCAAAATTGAGAGTCATATTGATAGTGCCACTGGTGGGAGGTATTGGCAGCCTGTTTCTTCAATATTGTAATATTCAACTTTTTCCTTACTAGGATTGCTTCAAGGTTTAAACTGTTTTCGTGCATGTATTTTGCTTCGTAGGTTGTTCAAAGTCAATGGAGAACCGACTTTTATACGAGGGGGCAACTGGATATTGTCTGATGGTCTACTTCGACTTTCAAAGAAGAGATATCACACAGATATCAAGTTTCACGCAGATATGAATTTTAACATGATCCGTTGTTGGGGTGGTGGACTAACTGAAAGACCAGAGTTTTATCATTATTGTGACTATTATGGTCTTTTGGTACCACAGTTTTCTTTTTTATAATTCGTTTCTGCATATACTGCATTATGCTTATGAAGTTCGATTGTTTCTGCGTATACTGCATTATGCTTACATTCGTAGAGTGTTGATTTTGATAGTTGATCATGTTGCTGGTTTAAATGTTATAGGTCTGGCAAGAATTCTGGATTACTGGGGATGTTGATGGACGTGGTGTCCCGGTATCAAATCCACAGGGTCCACTAGACCATGACCTTTTCTTGTTTTGTGCAAGAGACACAGTCAAGCTTCTTAGAAATCATCCAAGTCTTGCCCTCTGGGTTGGTGGAAATGAACAAGTTCCACCAGCTGATATAAATGATGCTTTGAAAAATGATCTGAAACTTCATCCTTATTTCAAACATGAAGACGGAAAAGGAAAACCTACAGAATTAGGGGATCCTAGTCAGTATCTTGATGGCACACGTATTTATATAGAAGGATCGTTGTGGAATGGATTTGCAGATGGGAAGGGAGGCTTCACTGATGGACCTTATGAAATTCAAAACCCTGAAGATTTCTTCAAGGATAGTTTTTACAAATATGGATTCAACCCAGAAGTTGGTTCTGTGGGAATACCAGTTGCTGCTACCATAAGAGCGACAATGCCTTCAGAAGGATGGCAGATACCTCTGTTTAAGAAACTTTCCAATGGTTATGTAGAAGAAGTTCCAAATCCCATATGGAAATATCATAAATACATTCCATATTCAAAGCCAGACAAGGTTCATGATCAGATTCAGCTTTATGGTGTTGTAAAAGATCTTGATGATTTTTGTTTGAAGGTAACAGAAAACTCTATCCATGATGTCACACATGATGCATTTTTGGTCTTCCTAGATTCGATGTTCCGTGGTTAATTTGCATTTTTCTATACTTTTTTCGTCTCAGGCACAGCTTGTTAACTTCATACAATATAGAGCCCTATTGGAAGGATGGACTTCTCGCATGTGGAGCAAATATACGGGTGTGTTGATTTGGAAGACACAAAATCCTTGGACTGGTCTGAGAGGTCAATTTTATGATCATCTACATGACCAAACAGCGGGCTTCTATGGCTGTCGATGTGCTGCTGAGCCAATTCATATACAGCTTAACTTGGCTACATATTTTATAGAGGTTAGTGTCTGAATTAAACTTCTATATTGATGGTCCAGTTAAGCATAGTTTCTTGAAGGTTTTATTATTCTGTGTATATTTTTCTTAAAACAGGTTATCAATACTACATCAGAAGAATTGTCTAACGTAGCTATTGAAGTTTCGGTATGGGATCTTGAAGGAACATCTCCATATTACAAAACACATGAAAAACTATCTTTCTTGCCTAAAAAGGTAACACCTTTTGTTGAGATGAAGTATCCGAAGTCAAAAAATCCTAAGCCGGTCTACTTTCTTCTTCTCAAACTTTACGACATGTCAGACAATAGAATTTTATCGAGAAACTTTTATTGGTTGCATCTTCCTGGTGGAGATTACAAGTTATTGGAGCCTTATAGAAAGAAGAAAATACCTCTCAAGATAACATCTGAGGTTTTCATTGAAGGATCCGCATACAAACTCCAAATGCATGTGCATAACACATCTAAAAAACCAGACTCTAATAGTTTAACATTTGAGCGCGGTTCTACAGCTACAGTAAGAGATAGTTGCTTAGTTGCAGACTCGGTAGAAAGTGTACATAACGGGGCTGGAAAAGGACAAGAAGTCGGCTGGTTTAAGAGGTTACATAGACACTTTGCTGGGAAAAGTGATGGTTTGAAGGTTTCTGAAATTAATGGACATGACATAGGTGTTGCTTTCTTTCTACATTTTTCTATTCATGCTTCAAGTAAGGACCGCAAAGAGGGAGAAGACACAAGAATTCTCCCGGTTCATTACTCAGATAACTTTTTTTCCCTGGTGCCCGGAGAGGCCATGACTATTGATATATCGTTTGAGTCTCCTCTGGGTGTCGCTCCTCGAGTGACTCTGAATGGCTGGAATTACCATGGACAAACCATACATGAGGCTCTTTAGAGATGTAACAGACAACCTTGATTACTTTAAAGGCATCGAGGAGAGCTTCTTGAGTTTTGTTATTTAAGTTTTCATTTGCCTACTTCAACGTCTTCAAAGAACATAGAAGAATTCATATTTATGAGTATGTCGCAGATAAATAAGACCATGTTATTTTAATGTTTTCATTGTTTTGTTTTTGAATTGGTGGAATAAAAAGGAAGGGTGAGATTATCATACCAAATAACGTTCTTTCATTTTTAAAGTATGCTAAAAGCAAGTCTCTTTCTTGTGTCCTTCTATTTAGTGTAACACATCACCAGATGAATACATGCGATGCAATATAGCATATTATACAAGATGTAAGATTTCTAAATTTAATATTGAAGAAACACAAATTTACATGAATCACCAATAAGAACAAGCAAGTCTGAAAAAGCATCATCAATCAAGAATCATCACACAGACTTCATGAAACGGTTTATCGAAGAGAAGACGCCTGCCGCTTTGTCAAGCAGACTCTGCCCTTGCTCTGACTCCGCATCTTCATTGTTGTTGAATAAAATCTGCACCATTTAGCAGTATAAAATTCAACTTACCCTCTTTTCTTTTCTTAGGTTTTTTCACTTTAAAAACAGTAATGGCTATTGGCTATCCCAACTCTTACTATATGTACAGAGGAAATTGGTTATAAGGTACTAACCTCAATATCTTCGGTATCAGGACGACCGGCATATTCCTTTGCAAGCAGATATCTATTTGGTCTATCCTTGTCATCACTGAACACTTTCCACAATCTGAAAACCAGGAAGTAGATAAGAAATAATAGAGGGTTAACCTTTACAATTTATATTTCGCGCAGGAAATAATTGCTAGCCAAAATCATTTTCACAGGGTCAACAACACGAAATTTCACTGATTTTAAACTTAAAATTGATTTTTATGGCAAGTTTTTGGATGGTCTAGGATTGGACTGTGCACAGAGTTAACCATGGATGCAGACAAAAATAAGGAGCAAGTATTGTTGTTATTCATATACAATAGTAATCCTTATTGAAAAGAATAAAAGACCATACCCGGGATAACACCGAAAGACTGCACCAAATGGCATTGGTCGCATATGATAGACAGTTGTAAAGGTGCTGTACAACAAATGATCATAATTCAGTAGTCTGGATTAATCGAAACAAACCAATTCTTCAAAATAAAATGTATTGAGAAAGTACAAGAAAGGAATTCTTATTCAACACACGGTAAGTTACTATAACTTCAAGTGAACCTCAGAATTTATCTAGTGCTAGCTAAGTCTGTTTTCTAACTTAAATAGACTTTAACAGATGTAAGATTGTCCTAAAAGAGACGAAATAACAAAAACAAATATTCAAATTGAGTTGACGAAAATACTATTTCTTACAGTTACTTGAAATTTTAGAAGTAAATGATACTGTGTATACTTGGTTTACAGTTGAAGAACTGTAAACCTACCCAAATGTACATTGAAACTTGAAACCAAACATATCTAAGCCTTTTGGAATGAAATAGCATGAAAATCATACCTTAAAAAGTAGCGCCTTAACTGCCGTACGTTAAATCCAACTCCAACATCCGCGCTATACAAACGTGGATTCCACATGATAAGGGGCCTTGGCTGCCGATATTTAAACAGTTTGAGCAGAAATTAAAAATGTTAAAACACATTACATGAAAATTTCTAAACTTGATGTAAAGTGACAATCTTGCAGCCTATGGTGGCTCTTGAGAGTCAAGAATAACAAATATGAAAATTATCGTTAGTTCACAACCCCTTGCCATATATTTTTTCCAGCTCTACTCTTATGTGGAAATTGAATTAGAATCAGACACATAATAAGCTTTCACATATTGCTTTTTAAATTTCATCATACTGTCCAGTACATGGCTGTTTAAATTTCAGATATCACAAGAATCTCTAACAAAAAATTATTGCATTAAAGATAGAACAGAAGAGTTCATAGACTTTACTGGATCATCGGAGAGGGTGGATGCAATTTTCTCTACATATTCTAACATCTGATAATCAGGAACAATCATGACCACTATCTCATCACCGCTGTCTACAGGCTTCCGATCGCTTAAACTGGAGAAACATAAAAATTAACTATACATGAAATAACAATAGCGTGACAATAAACACAATGCGACTTAAAATACTATGGGAAAAATTGCATCAGCATGACCATCAAATTCTCAAGCTCAATGGAAAGTAAGAATTGAATGGTTAGAAGTATAGTCACCTTGCAAAACTAAATAAAGCATCTTTCCACCGATATTTTAGAAGAGCTGCAGCACCAGCATCCGGAAATACGGCTTTAACTTTCTAACAATCAAACTCATGAAAATTAGCAACTGATTTAATATAAAAAAAAAAATGAATATACACATCATAAGACCGGATCGAACATTTGAGTTCATCATGAAGCACATTGTCATGGAAGTCAATATCAATATTTATAATATGAGCACTGAATCTGGATAACTGTAGCATGCCTTAAGTTTGTAACTATAGCATAGACATGAATTTTGGAGGCTGCTAGCATTTTCATAGAATATTTTCAAGTTTTGTTTTAAAAGCAACTCATGCAACGACACATGCAATTGACACGTGCAATAGCATCATGGAAAAATACATTAGTAGGTCTACCAGAAGGAATAAAAAAACACTTTGAATTCAGGAAATCCTTCATATCTTTTATGTGCTTTGAGTTTATATATAACTTCCGGAATAAGTCCCCAAACCTGACACTGTGTTTCTTCAATAAGTGTATCCAAGAAGACCCTTGACAACTCCCAGAGCTCCAACTGTGCGCCTTCATCATCTAAAAATTGCAGTTGAGGAATTAAAAGTTCAACCTGTAAAACGGTTAAAAAAATTCAGCACAAGGTAACAATTATTAGCTTGTATGTCTCAATTTTCCAGAAACTCTCTTATTTAACTTTTCTTTCTATAATCATTCATAAACTTACAAGGACTTTTTCCAGAGTAAAGAAGCATAAAACTTAAGTTTTGGAGCGTATGAAATGGTTTGAATTTAACCTTTATATATTAAAAATGAAAGAAAAGAAAGTGATTGAAATAATGGAACATACTATCGCTCTCATTCCTCCCGAAGATACAAATGATGAAGCAGCCTGACTTGATTGTATCACTGCACCCTCCAAATCCGGAGGTAAGCAACTGAAAAACAGAATGAGAAAAAGTTGAGAATTTTTTTATCAATTGGAATATAATCTACAAAGGACCGACACTGACACAGACACAACACTGACACAGATACGACACTGAATTCAAAATTAGTAAAGTAGTGATACCTATCATCTTCCTCGTTACTATTAACAGGAGTATCTGTAGTGATAGTTTCTAGTGAGGATGGAGATTCGGCCTCTTGAGAAGGTTCGCCTTGGAATTTCTCAAACTTGGCGCGAACTTTGGAGGTGGAGGTTGCAGAGTGAAAGGGGGTAGCATTGTGGTTGTAGAAAGATATGGAAAAGGGAGTGGGTGTGGTTGGGACAAGTGTTGTGGAGTGGAACTGGAAGTTGCAGCAGGTTAAGCTCCGACAACCCATTTTCTGTTGCTCCCAAAGCCCGTGGATAATTCTAATTATTGCATTATCACCGTGAGTTAACAATGGCATGTTTTGTAAAACAAGTGTCTCATCTTAATTGTTTCAAATTCCTCGATACAAACCGTAAGGATGATTTATTCTTGTGCTCTACTCCATCCATCTCAAAATAAGGGTTGCATTTTTACTTTTTTTTATATCTCAAAATAAATATATTTTTTAGGGTTAAGGCTTCCGCTTCTAAAACAGAGAGGTTTCCTAGATCCCATGCTACTCCCGTTGTGATAAAGTTATCAGATTCATCTCGAAGGCACCAATCTCTATTCGATGTACCTCTATTATTATTAAAACTTGCATCCAAGTTGCATTTGAGACAACCACATGGAGACGGACTCCAAGTAAGCACTTGATATTGACCATTGTTATTATCTTTAACTCGTTGTGCCGAAAATCAATCCTGCCAATTATGATACGCAAGTCAACCAAGTTTAGGACTCTCTTCTCGTTCATTATTTCAAATAAGATCATTCCTATTTTTCCATATGACCTCCATCATAATAGCCACTCTACCAACAATATTCCCATCTTCCTTACTGCAAATATCTAGAATAAGTGATTTTACATCACGAAAAGAATTAGTTTTATGATCAATGATATTGTGCAAACTTGATGCTTCCCAACAACGATAAGTATCTGGACATGTATAGCAAAAGACACACACTACACAGAAACCTATTAGAGTACGCATTTGTTCTTAAAGATAACATGTAAAGTTATCATCAAAACATAAAGTCAGATATAGAACCAACTTTGTTCTTACAATCTCCCTTATTTTATGATGACAAAATCATGTATTTTGATAGAACAATTCATAAAGGGTAATCACCATGAAACACAAATTCAGTAAAGCTAACCAACTCCCCTTGAATCTGTTAATACTCAAAATTCCATTAAAACTTGTTCAGAGTCTCCCCATGAACCCAAGACTGCATAATAAATTTTGCAGTACACAAAGTAACATAGAGAAGGAATATTTCTCCATTGACGGCTCATCAACGTTTGTCTAGAAATACCAGGTCTTTATCTTAGAATTTGGATTACTATCAGAACATTATGAGGCAATAAAACCTGTTTAGTAACTATCTTGATGACTTGTATCAAACATCGGAACTAATATGTGGTTCTTCCAGAAACTATAATCGTGCCACTAGAAGGCGCACATCATCATGTCATCAGAAAGTTCAACACCTGAACCATTTCCTGACTGACCATGTCTTTTGAACATGTCTTTTGATCATGTCTCTTTTAGACCACATCTTCAGACCATATCTTAAACCATGTCTTTTAGACCATGTCTTCAGACCATGTCTTTAGACCGTGTCTTTAGACCATGTCTTATGATCATGTCTTAGATCATGTCTTCTGAATATATCTTAGACCATGTCTTTCAAATATGTCTTAGAACATGTCATTGGACCATGTCTTCTGAACATGTCTTAGACCATGTCTTTTAAACATGTCTAGACCATGTCTTAGATCATGTCTTCAAAACATGTCTTAGAACATTGTCTTTCTACAATGTATTCAGACAGTTCACAACCTCTTAAACAACTTGGTTAACAATAGACTTACTATACTTCTAGAAAGTTCACAACTTCTAAAGTATCAGAATCTGGTAAGCTGTAACTTGGTTACAAACACTTTCAGACAATTAACAACTTATGAACAGTCTTGTGATAGTGGAGTAAACATTACCAAGGCACACGTTGACATTCTTTCAAATCATTCACAACTTCTAAAATGAATTCTAAGTAACATAATAACTTTGTTAAGCTTCCAGACAGTTCACAACTTCTGAAGCGACAAAGTCTGATTACCATATTTTCAGAAAGTTCACAACTTCTGAATAATATGTATTGTCAACACACAATTTTCTTACTTTCAAAAAATTTATAACTTCTTTGAACAGTAGGAACATCAGAGCTTGATTTAACTATATTTTCACGAAGTTCACTCCTTCTGAACAATAGGTATTATTAATGCACGATTTCCTTACTTTCAGTCTTTTTATAACTTTTTGAACAGTAGGAGTATCATAGTTTGATTTAACCATATTTTCACGAAGTTCACTCCTTCTGAGCAATATGTATATCAAAGTATATTTCAACCTTTAACTTAGTCAGAGCCTTCTGACCAAATCATAGTTTCAGTTCATGATTCATATTTAGACAGTTCACAACTTCTAACGAGTACATGTTCATAGATGCTTAGATCATAAGAGATTTCTTCATGCATCTTGATTGCTTCCAGATGCTTAGCTCATCAGAGCATTCTCAGTGCACCTTGATCTTTGATCTTCATCTTCTGGTTGGCAGATGATAATCTTTTGATAGCCAATAAACCTGTCTATGAAAATCAGTGAACTTTTGCAAAGTTACTGAATAAAATATCAAACAAATTATTAGCAATAAAAGCATTATATCATATTTAGGTTTGAGATATGAGATTAAGTACTATCAAAATCATTTACTCTTTCTCACCCTTTGTCAGAAATCAAAAAGGATTTAAAAGAAAAAAATAAATTTTCATTAAAATCCAAAAGGATAAAGATACAGTTGTTTTAAAAACTAAAGAAAAAATTATTCTTAAGTTCTAATGCAGAGTATAATTTTGTTTAAACTGAAAAGAGATGTTTGAGATAACTTTATGGAAAATAATATTGAGGTTTGTTAGCACACTTTATACCAGAATGAGAATATGAAAATGTTAACATAGAACAGACTTTTATTCACTGACACAGTATACTTAAGGGAAACACAAATACAAACAAAGGAACAACAAAACTTCTCATCAACCATCAAAGACTTTATATCTTTTCTTCCAAATACCATTTTCTGCTCCATTTCTCCGTACAATTTCAGCAACACCTTATTTAAAGAAGACTTCCGACAGAACTCTTCTAAAAGGTATGCAGGACTTGTTGTGACCTCTGGAGATTGTAACTGATTTCTGCAGAAAATTGAAGATAGTCTAAGGTAGATTTATCTGAATTTGATTAACCAGGAGGAAGAGGAAAATTTGAAACGCGTTATGGACATTATGAGTATTCGGTGATGCCTTTCGGTGTTACTAATGCGCCATGAGTATTCATGGAGTATATGAATCGTATCTTTCATACTTATTTAGATCAATTTGTAGTGGTGTTCATTGATGACATTTTGATTTACTCTAAGTCAGAAGAAGAGCATGCAGAACACTTAAGAGTAGTATTGCAAGTTTTGAAAGAGAAGAAGTTGTATGCAAAGCTGTCTAAGTGTGAGTTCTGGTTAAAGGAGGTTAGTTTTCTTGGTCATGTGATCTCAGGTAGTGGCATTTCTATAGATCCATCGAAGGTTAATGATGTGTTGCAATGGGAAACTCTGAAGTCAGCTACTGAGATTAGAAGCTTTTTGGGATTAGCTGGTTACTATAGAAGGTTTATCGAAGGTTTTTCTAAGTTGACACTTCCGTTGACTAAGTTGACTTGTAAAGGTAGAGCTTTTGTGTGGGATGTCCATTCTGAATAAAGTTTTGCAGAGTTAAAGAGAAGATTGGTGTCAGCTCCGATTTTGATGTTACCTAATCCAGGAGAACCTTTTGTGGTATATTGTGATGCTTCTAAGATGGGTTTAGGAGGTGTACTTATGAAGAATGATAAGGTAGTTTCTTATGCGTCAAGGTAGTTGAGGACTCATGAGAAGAACTATCCTATGCATGATTTAGAGCTTGTTGCACTTGTTTTTATGTTGAAAATTTAGAGGCATTATCTTTATGGTTCTAAATTTGAAGTGTTTAATGACCATAAGAGCTTAAAGTATTTATTTGATCAGAAGGAGTTGAATATGAGGCAAAGAAGATGGTTACAGTTGTTAAAGGATTATGATTTCAGTTTGAATTATCATCCAGGAAAAGTGAATGTGGTAGCTGATGCGTTGAGTCGAAAGACTTTACATATGTCGGCAATGATGGTTAAAGAGTTGGAATTAATTAAACAGTTCAGGGATATGAACTTAGTTTGCGAGGTGACACCGCAGTGTTATGTTGGGGATGTTGGAGATTAATAATGAATTTCTAGATAGTATCATAGAAGCTCATAAGTTAGATGTGAAACTGGTAGATTCGGTGGTTGGGATCGATCATTCTGAGAATAGTGATTTTAAGTTAGATGTGTAAGGTGTGTTGAGATTTCATAATCAAATTTGTATTCCTGATGATGCATAGATGAAGAAAGTGATTCTTGAAGAGAGTCATAGAAGTAAGTTGAGTATTCATCCAAGAGATACAAAGATGTATCAGGATTTGAAGAATTTATTTTGGTGGCCTGGGATGAAGAGTGATGTGGCTCGTTTTGTGTATGCATGTTTAACTTGTCAGAAGTTGAAAGTTGAACATTAGAAGCCTGCAGGATTGATGCAACCGTTAGAAGTTCCAAAATGGAAATGGGATAGCATTTCGATGGACTTTGTGACGGGGTTACCTAATACTTTAAGAGGACATGATTCAATTTGGGGGATTTTTTATAGGCTTACGAAGTCGGCTCATTTTATTCCTATTAACATCAGTTTTCCAATGTCGAAGTTGGCTGAGATTTACACTAGTGTAATTGTGAAGCTGCATGGTGTTCCTTTGTGCATTGTGTCAGATAGAGATCTGAGGTTTACTTATGATATTTGGAAGAGTTTGCAAGACGCGTTGGGTTCTAGGTTGAGGTTGAGTTCGGCGTATCATCCTCAGACGGATGGTCAGACAGAAAGGACTATTTAATCGTTGGAGGATTTGTTGAGAGCAAGTGTTCTTGAGCAGGGAGGTTCGTGGGATACTTATCTTCCGTTAATAGAGTATAATAATAGTTACCATTCTAGTATTGGGATGGAACCTTTCGAAGCGTTGTATGGTCAGAGATATAGAACTCCTTTATATTGGCATGAATCTAGAGAAAGTGTAGCGCTTGGACTTGAACTTGTTCGTGAGACTACTGAGAAGGTGAAGATGATTTGGGAAAAGATGAAAGCTTCTCAAAGTAGACAAAAGAG